TTTCAATTCCTCTCTAATTCTGCCCATGATTCGACCCTATGCGACTCATTATAAAACCCGTTCGACTAAGAATTTGACCCTGTTCGACTCCAGATTCGACCTTGTTCGACTCATGATTTGACCCTGTTCGACTCATGATTCTACCCTGTTCGACACATGATTCGACCTTGTTCGACCCATGATTCTACCCTGTTCGACCCATGATTCAACCCTGTTTAACTATAGCCTTCGTTCGACTGTATTAATTTGCGACGAAAACTAGATATCGGTCGACCGTCGAACTTCTCAGCTCTGTAAAAATCGCGCGGTATTTTGCTACAAGATACAAAACTTGCATACGCGTATTCGTTGAGTTAATCTTGTATAGGAGTGCCATATCATTACATTAACCAAAGGGGTAACAGTTAGATCCAAACACTTCAGTGAAACGGATAATTTTTGTTTCCAATTTTAACATCAATCAATCAGAACTGCTTTCCTGAGTCGAGGTGCTCACTCTATGTTTCGACCGCTTCGACCAAAATTTATTTTGCTTCCACTGTCTCGACCAAATGTGGGTATGGTTCGACCGTGCTCGACTAAAAAAATGTACTCGACCTTGCACGACTCAAGCAAGATATGCTTCGAGCTTGCTCGACCGAAAACAATGTGCGTGACCGTGCTGGACCCAAGCCAGATACTTGGGTCGAAACCTACTTCGGCTAGGTTTCGACTTTCAATTATCATTAGCTTTTGAAACTTAAACCGTTTAATTTACGGCTTTCTGGTAATATCTCGGGATGTCTTTTTCTAGTTTATTTGCAATTTGAGGTTATCAATTTGAGTCAAAAACGTTAACATAAAAAATTATATTTGTTACTAACTCTAATTTATCTCAAACAATCGGTAATTTTCGACTATTCCTAAGGTTTGTTTCGACCATGCACAAGGTATTTTTTGATTGCGCTCGACCAAGAATTGATATTTTTTGGTCATGCTCTCAGTATGTTTTCACCATGAACAACCAAAGTTCAATGCATTTTGACTGTTCTTGCGGTGTGTTTCGAGCTTGTGCTAAACCAAAACGCCAGTCTCGACTGTGTTTTTTTGTCGAGCACATAAAATGAGATCCTCGACTCGGCTTAGATACAGTGGGAGCTAAAGATTTTCATTCCAAATGATACATTCTATTTGAAACAAAGTTTTCCAATTTAATAAAAATGATGACAACTTTATACTTATATACTTTCAAACTTTCTTTGGAAAATCTCCCCACGAGATAAAGTACAAAATCCCCACGAGATAAAGTACAAAAGCAAAAAAAACTCACGTGCAATAAGCAGCAGATCAATTAGGAAACCTAGTGACATATTTGATATATACTTTTGTTTCCTAATCGAGTAGCTGCTGATTGCACGCGAGTGGTATTTAATTGTTTGTTTCACTCGCTTTCGCGCTCTCAATTTCAACTCGAAATTTGAATTGCCAAATGTATTCATTTAAGGGGGGTATAACCGAAAAGACGCCTACTGTGGGCAGCAGTCTTTTCTGTTATACCCTCCCTTAAATGAATACATTTGGCAATTCAAACTTCGAATTGAAATTGAGAGCGCGAAAGCGAGTGAAACAAACAATTAAATACCACTCGCGTGCAATTAGCAGCTACTCGATTAGGAAACAAAAGTATATATCAAATAAATCACTAGGTTTCCTAATTGAGCTGCTTTGCACGTGAGTGTTTTTTGCTTTTGCGCTTTTGCGCTTTCAATTCCAATTCGAAATTTGAATTGCCAAATTTATTCATTTAGGGGGGGGGGGGAGGGGTATAACCGAAAAGACCCCACAGTAGCCCCAAAGCTAAGGCCTTTCTAAACAAAAATTGTCTAATTGCAGAACAAACAGCAAACAAAACCGGATCGATTAAGTCTCAACTGTAACTGAAATTCATTATATTGCTATTTGCGCCCACTGGTAGTGTATAGTGTAGTGTAAATAAAAATTCATCTTTTAGAAGAACAAATTTCAGACCTAGATGTTTAAGTGGGGTTGAAATAGTTGAAGTCATCTGTTAAACATTGCTTCATTATTTCTGGTTACTTGCACTGAAAATCCACGGATAAAAACCGACTTAATTTGAGTTTTTTTGCCATTATTGTTTCATTATTTCTATTTACCCGCAGGGGAAACCTCTGTATACAAATTTGAGTGTTATTTGTCTCTGTAAAAGTGAAAAATGATCGATTTTAATCAATTAAAATTGGATTTTTTCAGTAGCGATACCTTTTGTACTTTTTTGAGATATCCAGTTTGGTTGACGGGTCCGAAGTTTTTCTAGGCCTTTTTTGGCCTGTTTCTTTCCCAAATTATTATACTGATGCTGTTTTTCTGAACAAAAAATTTTTTAAATCGATTATAATCAATTTTTTTTGCAAAAATTTAAAATTGAAAAAAAAATTGTAATCTATTTTGGATGAAAACTAAATCATTTTCAATCGATTATGATGTAATTGTTTTGTTATTTCTTTTTGTTAGTTGTTTCATTTTTCATTAGTTTGTTACATGTATCGGCAAGTTTTGAACTAAATACAAAATTTTGTTGATTTCTGAACATTTTTGTTATCTTTGCCACTCGCTTACACGTTTACAAACTGCACTTTTTTGCGCATGCCGGCCAATTTTACCCCTACCCCATCGTTTACTCCTTGTGAGGGGGAGTGTAAACATGACATCCATTTTTACCCCTATTAAGTTCCCCTATCATTTTTTGTTGTACATTTATGCGTTTACCCTATTTGTTGGTAAACGGATAAATGAAGGGGATAGTATGCATTGCTAAACATTTTTAACAATTGTAATAAATATTTTTTAGAGAATTTGTTTTTGTCTGCAAAAATCTTTTTTAATCGGTTTTTGGTTCTAGAAAAACTTGTTTACTCATATTCAGTTTTTGCAAAGTTATGCATCATAGTTTTGCAGAAACGGCGCATGAATACATTAAACCAATTTCTCACCAAAAAAGTTAATTGTAATGATTTTTTATGGACAAAAATCAGATTTTCATCGGTTTGTGCAACGATACAATTGATTATAAGGAAGAACAGCCGATTATAATGAATTGTTTTATGAAAAAAAAATTGGATATATATTTAAAACTGGTATTTATAATCGATTTTATTGGCCAACATTTTGTCATGAAAACTCGTTGCAATCGAGTATTATCCAAAAAATGCCAGCGCGGGTGGATAAAAAACATGAAATAGACGTTGAGCATAGCCAACAGACAGTTGAAAATGAACGCATGTAACCAGAAAAACTTATTTTTTGAAAAAAAATTGAATATGTTACAGAAAAAAATAGCCGCCATTAAAGCTCTTTGAACCTTAAGGACAATTGATGATCGACACTTTTTCGATAAAAATAACCCATTTTGAGAAAAGTGGAACAACAAGTAATTTTTTTGTTTGCAAAAATATGAAATTTAAATTCTAATTTTGAAACTAAAAGTCTATCACTTTTTGTGACTTTTATGTTTTGCTGGTTCGATAGTGGAGTTTGCCTTTCCTTCAACAAAAGAAATCATCAAAAAGATATCAAAAATCGAAGCAAGAAAATGTAAGTTTGAGTCTGAACAAATGTTTTACATCAAAAAGAAATACATCAAAAAGATATCAAAAATCGAAACGCGAAAATGTAAGTTTGAGTCTGAACAAATGTTTAAGAAATTTCCGGAAAAAAATTAGCACGACCTATATAAGAGTTCGAGCTACGTTCATTAATTTTTTAAATATTTCCTCTTCTTTTTTGAAAATTCCATTCATGTTTTTCTCACTATAAGCTACTTCAGGCCCGTTAAACTTTAAAGTTCAGCTTGATACGAGCAGTCTTGTTATAAACGGGCAGAGAATAACAGTCACGTCAACCACCTTGAAGGCAAATTTTAGGTTCTGCGTTAGTTTTATGTTAAATTTTATCTTGGCTCCAGCAAGCCTTTATAACTGAAGTCATTTGAAAAGATCAAGTTGCATGTATCGCTATTTTTAAAATTTTCACGATTTCGCAATACTGCCTAAAAAGGACTGCGCTCGCAATTTTGAAAATTCCATTCAAGTTTTTCTCACTATAAGCTACTTCAGGCCCTTTAAACTTTAAAGTTCAGCTTGATACGAGCAGTCTTCTTGTAAACGGGCACAGAATAACAGTCACGTCAACCACCTTTCAGATCACATTAATTTCCACTATCTTTTAAAAATATTTTTGTTGCAATTCGCTTGATAAAACCGGGTTAATTAAGTGCTTTGGGAGAGCTCGAGAAACCAGGGGCGTTCAACAGAGCCGAAGTACAACAGTGCCGAAAAAGGCGGGAAAATTTCAGAATACTTTACACGCATTTTCTAAAGAGCAGGATATTACTGACGCTAATTATCAAAGAAAGTCTCTCCAATTTTGGCCCCAATATGTCTGCAACTGCAAATTTAACATTTATTTTGGCGCCAAAACGTGTAAGCTGTAAATTTTCTCGCTCAAAATCTTTACGTTATACTTAAGATTGTATACGATCGCTGATTAATTTTCGATTGCCGCACTTAATATGTTGAAATTTGTTCAAATTTTTGGCACTGTTGAACAAAGTTTTCATTTTCGGCACTGTTGAACAAAGTTTTCATTTTCGGTACTGTTGAACTTCGGCACTGTTGTACTGCCCCGAAAAACCAATTAAGTGAGCCAAAAAAAGATCGACAAACAATTTTTTGAAAATTTTTGGGAAAATCCGCCCCCTCATGAAAATCCTAGATCCGCCCCTGAGACGCAGAAAGCTTCTCAGCAAATTTGAATTTTCATAATCTTTCAAAAAATCTTGGAAAATCATTTTTTTCACCTAATAATAAGTTGACAATTTTTAAACAAACCCTCAGAAAAACCCATTAAGAAATTGAAATTGTAAATTGAAATTTATTCATAATTGCCCCAAAATTTGTTAAATTAATTCAAATTTTTTTTGGAAAAGGAGTAGTTCAACTCACTCTGGCCTGATACATGTAATTCTGAATTATGACTGGGCGTGACCATGACCTTGACGACATCCTCGCTGAAATGACACCTATGAGTTCCTTGTTGTTCAGCCTGCTCCTTGCTCGCATTGATCTTCGTGCGACTAAAACATGCGCTGCTGCTTCAAATTTGGTCCAAAGATTTTTTATGACCACTTTTGGCCAAACTTCGAAAAACGGGATGGAAATTTCGGCTTGTGTCTCGATGGAGTGAGAAGGAGGGCGGGGGTTAGTTTTAGCCGTAAAATTGCTGTTCGTGTTGTTACGTCTATATTTGTGGCTTGGTCAACGAGAAGAACAGCCTCATTTTATACAACCTTGATCTTTAAATCATATCCAAGTTCATTTGAGTTTCAACTCAATTTTTTGTAATCTGTAATTGGCATACTTTGGCTCGATAATGTTTACAAGAGGGTTCTTTGATGCCATTAAATTCCATTTTCGTAAAACTAATCTTTGCTTGAGATATACACAGACTCTCTAAGTACCATGTTTACAATTTCGATTGACCAGATAAGGAATTGTGCTGTCATTTCATTAGGCACCGTTGATTGCCTAAATACGATTATCGCTGCTTGAGATAATATAAATTGGATATTTGACATTTACAGCACATATTGAGTTATTGCCTTTTATTTCGAATAAACAGAAAACATTTTCAGCTCAGATTCCTGATTACAGAAATTGAGCTGTTGTATACGTTTCAAAAACTGCCCACGAGAAAAAAAATTGCTTAGAAAAACAGTTTGAACGTCTTAAGTTAAGAATAAGAGCCGTACAAAATTCTGAGCTAATAATTGGGGGGAAGCGGGGAAGGGGGGACGCCCCCCTCTCAGGGATTCGACCCCAAGCCGACCACCTTTGTACTATTTTGAGATATCCATTTTTGGCTGACTGACCCTAAAATTTTTCTAATGGCGCCTTTGGAGCCAATATATAGTAATTTAGAGGGAGGAGCGCGTGCCGAAAAACGCGATTTTTTGTCAACATTTTCCAAAAAGTGCTAAAAAACGCCTTTTTGGCGTGTTTTTTACAAAATTTGCCTGATGTCAGAAATTTTGGCCAAAACAAAGTCTTTGTAGTGCTTTGGGAGCGCTCGGAAAATCAATTTGGTCGACCTAAAAAAATGTCGAAAAAATTTTCGAAGTTTTTGTTAAAATCCGTCCCCTCGAGAAAATCCTAGATCCGCCCCTGCCCATAATTGTCGCATATCAGTTCCTGTCTGTAAATGAAGTGGCTTTTTCCGTGTGAACATTCCAAGGAAAAACTCAATATCAATAATTCATATATCAAATCTTTCCCAGTTTTGTTGATGTTTCTCATTATCGTTATCGATAAGTTTTCAATTTAGATATAATATATCTTTTAATGTTCAAATTATAAAAATTGGTGCGAACAATATTCAGATCCAGTCACATGAATTCAATTCCGACAAAAAAATTGTTCGTGTAAGGGCGACACCCCTGAATGTTGCGACTAACCTTTAGCGTCGATCAAAAATATTTAATCTCTTTTTAAAAAACTTAAATTATCAAAAAAATTGAAAAAAAATTGAAAAAATTTTCTGAACAATTTAGATCCTCCACACGCAATTGAAAAACGAAGTAAAATACTTTGCGGATCTCTGGCAACGCAAAACGTACCAAACGAACAATGAATATGTCTATTGAAACTGCTCGTTTAATTTTTTGGGGGCTGAAAATTTTTCACTCGCCCTACGAATCCACCGCGTCTATTTTATTAGTCTCTTAGGTCAATTGATTGCGCATAAGAACTCGAATCTAGGTTTTTGCTTTTTTAGTTTTTCTGAACTCTTTCAGGATTCTTTGAAGCCTGGAAAAATCATAAGCCGCTTGCAAAAGATTGTTTTTGAATGGACAAAGATGGGATTTTTTTTTTGAAAGGTGTTAAAACTATATTTAGAGTTCTAATAATGAACTAGATCTGCTTTTTCGTTCACTTTTGAGGAGAATGAAAACGGTTTAAATTCGAGCTTGCTCGGTTTTTTCAACGGAAATTCTGATACCACCTGAAGCTAA